GATATGATCAGAGCTGTTCGGGTCGTGTGGGATTTCACATTGCTGCAGACACATCTCAGAAACACAGCGAGACAGCAAAACCAAACAAGATGAACATCTTCAGGAAACCTGTGGGAGTGAGTCTGTGCTCCTGAAGAGCACCTGGATCATGCTGTGATCCTCGTGGATGTGGGAGGTGTCATGGGCTGCCTCGGGCACTTCAACATCCATCGGTTCCTGTTGGATTTGGCTGCACTGTCCTCATTGTTCTGAATTCCTGTTCTCCACACACGAGGCTCAACTCAAGGGTTTCACAATGGCCCTTCCCTCACAAATGACTGTTTGTTTGTTTCTCACACTTGAGTGCTGAATGGTGACAAGGATTAATGTGCCCAGCTTAGCATGGATGCTCAATGAAGTGGCCCATGACTGGAGAGCTGAGCTGGGCAGAGAAAATTTGGGGGTTTATTTTGTGCTCTGAGACTGTTTTAATATCATCTCTTTAGGAACTGGGTGGATGAGCCCTGTGTGTATTAGCCCTTTGCTAAGTCCTATTTTGACCCTTCCTTGGGATTTGCACAGCCTGACTTGTCAGACTCCTATTCTGCGGCTGCCACCTCCCACCTAGCACAGTTCACGTCCCTGATGAATAAAGCTGGTGTTTCTTTTTCCCCTCTCTCCTTGTAAGGCGTTGTTCATTTGCAAGGTAACGATGATTTGGGGCGCCCCATTCATTCCTTATATTGCCCTGAGCTCCGGGCGGGGAGCGGGCGGGGCAGAGAGTGCTCGGGTGTGCTGGGAGCCTGCGGAGCCCGGGAGCTGCGAGCACACACCCAGCCTACCCCGGCGTGAAGCCACCACCTCCGAGGCCAGGAAGCTGCGGTGTGTTTGCTCTGTGTCTGCTCACAGCCGGCTGCTCCTCAGGGAGCGGGAGAGCTCGCATCGGGATGTTGGAAATGTGCGAGAGGTCCTGACTGGGACGTGCTGTGGGATAAAAAATGAGATTCTCCAGAGTGGCCGGGAAGGAAGAGAACATGATGGCATCTCTGTGCTCCGCACTCACCCGATTTTGAGCTCCTGCAAGTAAGTGGTGGTGGCTTTCCTGCCTGGCAAACGGGGAGTCTGCAGCTGAACTGGGGGGGAAATACTTTAAACCCCTCAATGTATATAGAAGTCACAGCATTGTCAGAGATGCTCTTGGGGCTGGATAGACTGGACAGGCAGGATTCCTGCTCTGCTCTGGGAATCTTCACCTAGATTCAGCTTTGTGAGTTGGGCTCCAAGCTGTGTCGTTCTATGGTTTGTTCTCTGCAGCTCGGCTTGAAAGGGGAGTAAAGGTGGTGGAGCTTGGCAGTGCTGCTGGGATCCCATGGCTGGAGTCTGAGCGGGAGCCAATTGCTTTTGGGATGAATGAATTTAGTTCGGAGGTGTGTGGCGTTGCGGAAATTTCCGGTTGTGCTGTGGGGAGGGCGACAGGAGTATTGCTGGTGTGTGCAGTGGAGAAGTGCTGAGCTCCTGTCTCTGGGTGAGGAGGCTTGAGAATGTGGTCACTGAAATGTTGTCTTTATGATGTAAAAGTAGTGCATTTGTGGCAAAGGAAACCGCTGTGGCAGACAGATGGTTCTCGAGAGGATAGATCTCCTTAATACAGCCATCCTGTAGTTTGGAATCTGGCTTCCCATCAGCAGCTCCAAGCTCTCTGCTGGTCTCCTGCTATGCTCAGCTCTGCAGAAAACCTCTTGAGCTGATTCTTGCCTTAGAAGAGCATTTTTCTGCCCAAGTGAGTGGTCAGCAACCAGGGAAGAGTGGGAAGAAAGAAAAGTCACCTGAAATGGTGTCAGCCTCAAGCAGAGCCCTGTGGTGTGGGCTGGCAGTTACTCACCTGAAGGTTTTAAAGTTGTATTTTCTCAAAAGCCACTCCAACATGTGAGTAGTGATCAGAGCTACAGCTAGGAGTCTGCATCCAAGTTTTCAGACATTTGGGTCTGGCATTTAGAAGTATGGTTGGCACTTTTGAAATGAAAAGCCCCCAGAGGTATTTGGCCATGAAATCTCATTACAGAGATGAGCAATGTGTGTAAGATCTCATGCCTGCTTTTTTGAAATAGTCTTAAAATTCACTAATTGCACCCCATGGTCCAGGGCAAATTCAGTGTTGTGACTGACTGTAAACAGAGATTTCACTTTTTGTAACTGAAAAGAAAAAAATCCATCTACTTCTGCTTCTTGGGTCTTTTTTGAAGCACAACTCCCTGGGGTACCTGAGCAGAGTTTGCTACAGCTGTGTGCACAGTTGCTGATGGAAATCAGCTCAAAATGTTTCTCTTGGTTTTGTGCAAATAGGCTTTGAGTAGCTTCGCAGACTTTTTTCTTGCCACCCTGCACTGAACACTGTGTGGTTTTGTCTGGGGAGATGAATCAGAGGCCAGGCAGAATCAGCAGCAGCAGCAGCACTTGGTTTGGCAGTGAATTTAATCTTGCTTTCAGGAAGCCCAGATGAGGAACTTGCACCTTTTGTAGGACTCACAGAATGCTCCCACATCCTGGAGTAGCAACCCATCTGCCTTTAGGGTGCCTGTGCTCGGGTGTCACACACAGGGGCGCGATCCCTGCTCAGGGGGCTGTGGGTGTTGTGGCACTTACTCAACGGCTGTGACCGCCCTCATCTTCAAAGCCACCTCTGCTGGCAGAGCCAGCATTACAAAACGCTGTCTGCCGAGTCTCCTGCCCCGGGGCAGCCCCAGGGCTGGGAGATCGATAACTTCATTGGCAGGAAATTCAGGTGTAGGTTTCAGAAGGTCTGGCTGACACTTTGCCTTGCAAACCTGCTCAGTCCCACCTGAGCGCCTTTAGTCAGATTCTGCTGGCAAAGCTGTGTTTTTGGGACACCCAACGTGTTGTCCCAAGAAGTGGCTTCTCCCAGTGACTGCTGAGCCTAAACACTGAGGAGCACTGCACAGTTTCACTGCTCAGAAATCCCGGAGCAACCACCGTCCTGCTCTATAGAAAGTAGGCAAGAAGAATTTCTCTGCATTCATTTCTACTCAAGGAAGTCTCTCATTTCAATCTTCAAAATTCAGGGAATGGAAAATCCCCCTGCTGTGGGATAAGCTGCCCTGTGTGTGCCTGCCTCAGCATGCTGAAAGCTCCCACCTCGATTCCAACATCACACCAGCTCCTGGCTATCAAACCTCGTTAGAACTTTGTCTGCTCAACTCTAGAGCCTGCTCAGCTCTGCCCTGGTCCTGCAGCCCATGATTCCATCACTCTAATGAGCTGAACGAGTACAGCAAGGAGCTCCAGGCTCTGTCTAACGCACCGGCCCTGTTGCAAGTAATCCGAATAATTAAGCTATGCTCAGACAGAAAAGATGTGTTGTCTAATTAAAACATCGTTGGAAAGGAAACAGCCTCTCCTTCCCAGCTCTGATCTAAGCCAGTCTGTCCAGCCTGGTTAGTCCTTAAACCTCTCTGTCTCACTTTCTACCTTGAAATAATTGCTCTCCAGGGTTCATGCTTCAGTCAGGGCAGTTTCCAAAGGCATGGGAAGTTCCTAGACAAAAGGATGCTCTCAGATAAAAGGGTGCTTTTGGGCAGAGATCTTCTGATTATTGGCATAAAAATGTGCCAAAGATGCTGCTGTGTGACCCGGGGTGCAGGGGAGAAGGGAGCTCCTGTGAGTCTCCAGTAGCTTCTGAGATTTACACAAGGCAAGGTGGCTTCTCACCAGAGCTCATCTGGGCTTTGTCATCTGGATGGAGATATGCAAGAGGGTGAGTAAGAGGTGCTCAGCATGTCCCGCCAGATCTCTGGGTTCCCATCCGTACTGGTGGAAGCTGATCCTGCCCAGCTCTGGCCAGGGACCCTTACTGCTGGCCCCATCGGGATCAGCTACTGTGGATGCTTGAAGCTGTGTTTTACTCCAGGAACTGCCTCTGTCTCCTTTCAGATCAGGCATTTCCTGGGTGCTGGTGTCAGGCCAGCCTTTTTTTGTAGAGCAGGGTGCACAGAGCTGAGCTGTGCAGAGCTGGGACCCGCAGCCGCCGTCGACGCAGGTGAAGGTGAAGGGCTGTCAGCTTTTGCTATGGGGATGGTGGCATGGGAATGATGGGACAGGGGTCACCAAAAGCCTCCTGGGGAAGGGGGTGGTCCTGACTGGCTGGGGAGCATCCGTGCTTTGTGTCAGGCTCCCCAGCACCCTACTGCCCCTGCACCGCTTGCTCTGGCTCTGCTGCAGTTTGCAGGGGACGATTTTTGCCTTGAGGAAAGCACAAGGACGAGGGCTGGATTTGGACAAGGCACAGCTTTAGGCAGAGGAAAGGGATGGGAAGATTGGGTGTTTTCTGCTCTGGTGTCACAGCAGAGAGTGGCTCAGGCCTGAGGTTGTGGTGGCACAGGGAATGTGAGGTCCGTGTGAATCTATTGCAGAAGAAGGGTGCCTTGGTGGGTTCTGCTGTGCCCAAGGCATGAGAAGGGAGAGGAGGGAGACACTGAAGCTCACCTTGTTTGCAGGAAATTGAGTCATCCTGCCTGTCCTTACTGGCCTCCCTTATGCTCAGGAATGGTGTCACCCCCATCTCACAGCCCGGAGTGGTGGCCCAGTGTCCACAGAAAGCACTCTCTCATTTTTAGGGTGTCACCAGAGGGTTTTCAGGGCTCTTGGGCATCTCCTTTTCACCATTTCAGTGGCAAATTGTGAGCTTGAATCCCGCTGGTTTTGTTGGATTGGTTTTTTTTCAGAAGGAACCAAAATCTAAAGTTTTCCCTGGTGGTGGCAGAGCACCCACTGCCAAATGTCTACACTGGTCTGGGCACTGCAGGTGTTACGGTGACTCTGGAGATAGCAATTTCTGGCCAGAAAACGGGACACCTGGTGAAATGTCTCCATCAAGAGAGACCCCCTGCTCAGGGACTATGCTGCAGGGATCATAGAGCACAATTTCAGCACTCCTGGCTGAACTCCAACTCGTGTTCTCTGTCCTCAGAACTCAGCCCCACAGTGGTGCTGGAAGAGGCTCCCCCATGGCTGCAGCCAGCGGCGAGGGGACAGCAGGGACCCAACTCCTGCCAGCTGGCACTGCCCTGGCCCTGCTCGGTGGCCTGGTCTACCTGGGCACCCTGTGTGCTGCCTGTAAACGGTACGTGCTGCCCACGGCTCCTCCGTTTTCCCTCCTGGGGCTGGGATGGGGCTGGGGATCCCTCAGTGGCATTTGGTGGCTGCGCGTGGAGATTGTGTACAGCCATCCTGAGCTGGGACCGTGAGGATCTGCTGCTCTGCTCACCCCAAACCCCCACCTGCACCCCAGTGCAGCTCTACCTAGCTTGATCCTGCATCCCTGTGTGCTGCAGCCCCCTGGAACACCCCCTACACCCAAAAACCTCAGAAGAGCTTCCCAGAGAGGGCTGAGCTGTGAGCAGGATGGGCAATGCTGAGGATAGTGCCAGTGGTGCCCTGCTCAGCTCAGTGGGGTGCAGGATGCAATTGTGATGTCCCCAGCCAGCACAGACCCTGCTGTGGGGCTGGGGCGGGAGCAGGATATGGGTTTTGGGAGTGCCGTGTTGGGGACCCGGGACCCCTGCTCCTCACCCCTGGCTTTGCCATCTGCCTTGGGCTCAGCTCCACTTCTCCCTGCAGGAAGGGCAGGAAGAAGGTCGCTCCAGATGGGGTGAAGCTCGTGGATAAGGTAAGAGCACATTCAGGGGGCAGGATCAGCCCTGGGGGGTGGTCTGGGCTCTCAGCCCAGCCTGAGGGTGTCTGCTCCCCCACGGCAGGCCCTGCTCCGCCAGACACAGCTGCGGTCACTCAGCAAGTCGGACACGAAGCTGCACGAGCTGTACCGGCTGAAGGTCAGAGACGATGGTGAGTGGCCATGGAGCAGGGGGAGCCCAAGGAGCTGATGGTCCTTGGCAATCGCCTGCAGTCCCTTTGCTGCCCAGAGAGTACATCCTGTCATGGACAGACGTGCCACGGTGCTGGCACAGGGGTTGGTACCTGTTGCATCCCCTCATTTCCTCCTCTCTCCCACAGTGCAGCGTCCGGCCAGCCTGGATCTCCCCTGTCCCACGGCCCCTGGAGGCGAATCCCTGCACAGCTCTGGCCTCCTGCACCGTGAGCTGCCCCAGATCCCCGTCCCTGAGCCCCCGGCTGCTTCCCCAGCCCCTGACCAGACCTACTCCAACCTGCTCTTCACCCCGCTGAGGAAATCAGCGCCAGACACTGTCTATGAGTGCCTGGCAGTGCGGGGGGAGGACACCCCGGTGCCCTCCATGCCAAGTGGCACCCAGGTGTCCCCTCCACGGGCTGTGCATGGGGCAGCTGATTATGCCTGTGTCCATAAAGTGAAGAAGGCAGTGTCGGTGGAGGTGCAGGATGGGGCTGTGGCAGGACCCTCTGGAGCACAGCACAGCTGGGATGGTGCAGGCAATGCTCCTCAGGCCAAGGTATGACTCTGGGGGGCAGCAGGGATGGGGAACATGGGGGTCATTTAATTCCCTGTCTCCCTGTAGTACCCATGTTTTGGAGCAGGGTATAAGTTAGGATCCCCTGCTAGGATCCTCCTGGGGGGCTGTCAGAAGATGGGGGTACAAAATCATGAGGATACTCTGCAGTGGGCAAGGATTGCCCACAAACCTCCACCCCCCAAAAAAAATTCCTTTTGCAGCTGGAGGAGATGTACTCGACGGTGTGCAAAGCCACCAAGAAGAAATCTCAGGTCCCTGCATCAACCCCGAGGGCTGTGAAGGAGGCAGGTTCTGGGTGGCCACCCCCCTGCCAGCAGGAGGGAGCAGCAGCCCCAGGCCCCCCTGACCCCTGCTACGAGTCCATCAACGACAGAGCATGGACTGCTCAGGGCCGTGGCCCCGACCCTGACTATGAGGCTGTGGACATTAACTGGAAGAAGGCAGCAAAACGGGACAAGCCAGGGAAGAAGCCCTGTGGCCCCGAGAACCTGTACGAGAGTGTGGTGGACATTTGGGCAGGGGAGTCCCGGAAAGCCTCTGCCCGGACAGCAGCCAATGGGCTGGAGGTTTACATCACCAACCTATAGCCCCTGGGGGCAGGGGCAGTGCCACAGGGGGGTCCCACCTGGCTGGACACCGTGGGGTGCCAAAGGGACGGGTGCCAGCAGCCCTGTGCCCACCAGAGCAGCTGTGTCCCTGCACTCACTCTCTGTATATATTTTCTGTTACTTTTCTATGAGTGTCCTTGTCCCATCCCAGCACAGCTGGTGCCAGCAGGTTGATGGTGAGATGTCCCAAGATGGGCAGTTTGGGGGTGCTGGGTGCTGACCCCAGTGAGACAGGCACCAAGATGGGAACACGGTGGGGACCAGTCAAGTTTTGGGGCAGGGGGGTAATGGGGCTGCAGGATCAGACGCTCAGCAGGAGGTTTCTGCCATGTCTGAGTCTGTCCTTCTCACACTGCCTGAGGGCACCCTCCAGCCCCCAGAAAGCCCTGAGAAGCTTTGCTTCCATCACAGAATGTCCCTTATTATGGGGAGATGGGGTCAGCCCTTTGCCCTCATGGAATCATGGTATATCCTGAGCTGGAAAGGACCCTCAAAGGATCATTGAGTCCGTCTCCTGACCCTGCACAGGACAACACAGAAATTTCACTGGTGAGGGCTGTGGGCTCTCCTCCATCCTCCATTCCCACCCTTTCAGATCCATGCAAGGGTGTCTCCATGGGCAGCCCTCTCCCAAACACCATTAAAAGGCTGAGAGAAGGTTTACACTCTTAAGCTGAGTCTAAATCCCTGTTTCTGGGGGCTGTTGCTGCTGCTAGTGGTGCAACTGGTGCTGGGAGAGCAGCTTTGAGCACAATGTGAGTGCATCCGCCCTGGATGAGTGGTTTGGCACCTCTGAAATGGGGACACACAGCCACCAAGAGCTGTTGTATGGGGTGATCTGTGTCGGAGCAGAGCCTTGCACAGGGCTGGGGTGGAAGCCAGGCTGTGTTTGCCCAGCATTCGCTTCCTTGCCCACCTCCCCAGCACTCCTGTGGATCCTGCAGCTTCCACGTGCCAAAAAAGCTTGGCTGAGCTGGATGTGCACCAGAGTTTAAACTTCCCTCCTCTCCTCCCCGATGGAGTTGCACATCCGTGCCCCAAGGGACACGAGGCGAGGCAGTGACGGTGGCCCTGGTCACATGGCCAGTGGCTGCCTGACCTCGTGGCAAGGTGGCCTGGAGCCGGGTGGAACCCGCAGCCCCCGTGCCGTGCCGGGCTGTGTGGCAGGAAGCCACGCGCCTTCCCTCAGCATCTTTGCCCCTGCAACGCGGCAGGTGAAGAGATGAAAACCGAAAACGCGGCGCTCAGCAAACCCCGCTGAAGGTGTTAGAGCTGGAGGCACCCCAGGCATCGTCAGCCCCGCGCTCGACGCCAAACCACAGCCACCCTCGAGAGCTTCTCCCATCCCCCTGCGAGATTAGGGCGCTGATAGAGCACGGCTGGTGCCGGTGCTGCCGCGCTCTTCCTGTTGCCAGTTCGCCACCGAGACGCGTGGGCTCCCACCACGCTGCCCCCGGCCGCATCCTTGCCCTGTTCCCCTTCTCCATCATCCCTCCTGCACCACCTGAATCCCGTGGGAGATGTTTTGGGCTGTGTTGCCAGGCACAGGAGCATCATTTCCGTGTGGGATCAGTGTGGCATCCGGTCCCTGCGTGGGTTGGGATGTGGGTACCGCTGTGCCACCTCCCGGGGGAAAGGCAGGCTTGGAGTGGCACCAGGGAAGAGAAAGCTCCCGTTGTAGCGGAGCTGAGGTGGCCAAATTTGGTCTCCAATTTCCCCCAGCTGCAGCTGGAGCCATACAGGGCTGTCCCTTTGCCCATAATTCCTGTGGGACTTGGGAGAACCGAACTCAAATAAGAGAACAACTGCCCAGTCCTCAGAGTGATGGAAAACGTGCCTGGAGTCCTGGCTGGAGGCTCGAAATCTGCGTGGCGAATGAAGAACCCATCCCAAATATCACTTGGAGCCTCAGAGTCTGGTCGGGAAGGTCGGGGTTGGGGTCAGAGCGAGGGGAGAGGGTAGGGCTGGGAGTACCCAGCCCTCATCCCCGGGGGACAGAGGCGTGCGGGGCTCTGTCACGCTGCGAGGGGACGGTGCTGCGAGGGACGGTGCTGAGCGGTGCCGTTCCCACAAGAGGGAGCGAGCAGGAGCCCAGCGAGCGCCGTCAGGGCTGGACGCGGCTGCACGTCCTACAGTCCTGCACGCTGTAGGATGTAGCACGGGGCTGCAAGGCGCATTGCACTCTTCACGGTGCGACACCTGCACGGTGTGACACCTGCACGGTGTGACACACTGCAAGGCGCTGTACGGGGCTCTGTAGACCTGTATCCTCTGTACAAAGACCCGCATCCCCTAGGTCCCTGCGCTCCGTACGGCTCCGCAGCTCTGTGGCTGGACGGCAGCACGGGGCTCTTTACCCAAACCAGCCCCACACCTGAACAGTCCCGCAGCCCACCTAGCCCCACATTCCTGAAGCTCACACCCGTGTGGCCCCGTGCCCCGTGCCAGGGGACACGGGCAGTGAGGGCACGGCCGCGGGTCCCTCTGCAAGATCACCTAGGCGAGGGGCATCACACGGGCGAGGGGCATCACAGTCCAGTCCGCAGCCAACACCTAGCAAAGGCATCCGGGTACAGCGGGGGCATCTCCCAGGGATGGTAATTCTTGGGGGAGTCCTGTGGAAGACCAGGAGTTGAACTAAATGATCCTTGCACGGCCTTTCCGACTCAGGAGATGCTATGATCAGGATTTTAATTTGGGATGCCACTCTGCCAAGTCCCCTGCCCGGGCCGGGGGTCGGGCTGGTGGCAGCCTGTGCAAGGGTGGGCGATACTCGTGGAGTTGCACAACTCCGAACGGAGCTGCCGGAGCCTCCCGTTCTGCGCTTCGGCCGCCGTTAACCATTAAACCAGAGCGGGGGCGGCCGCGGAGCCTCCCCCGGGCCTCACAGGCTCCTGCAGAGCTGCGCTAACGGGGGCTGCGGGATCAGACTCCCTAGGGATGGGGAATAAAGGCTGCTCCGGCCGTGCTCCTCCTCCCGTGCTGCCCGGGAAGGTTTTGGGGCTCCGCAGGTGTCCCAGTTCCCGGGGGACACTGCCCTTCACCCGGCTGGTCCCCAGGTCTTGTGGCGTGCAGAGACCCCGCGGGAGGCCGTGCTGGGGTGACACCGGGCGCTTGGCCGGGTTCGTGGGGATTTTCCCTGTTTGTTGATCTTTTCACTCTTAGGAAAGCACCCGGGATTGGCGCAGGGTGGAAGCGGTACCACCGGCACACCCTCCACCAGAACAGAGAACGAGGGGTGGCTAAGCACCCCAGGAGCCAAGCTGGGAACATCGCCTCCCCAGGCAGGGGATCTCCGGGATGCCGCCACACCAACCCCACAGCCCCCGATCCACGGGAATCAGCCGCGTCAGGCAGCCCAGGGCTGCTGGGGGACCGGCAGGGGAGACAGGCGGGGGAGACAGGCGGGGGAGGGGGGACAGGCGGGGGCCACCATCCGGGACAGCCGCACGGACTCTGTCCCGGCCTTCGGGCTGCGGGTCGGTCAATCCGGCAGGAGCAGGACCTGGTGGCCCCTCGCCGCCGTCCGGCGCTCACGGCCCCGCGGGTTTTGGGGCAGGTGAGGAGCAGAACGCAGACGGGCTCCAGCCGGAGCTCCCCAAACACTCCCTGAACCCCAAAACCTCACGTACCCCATGTATCACATGGAGCCCATATACCCCCTGCACTACAGGTACCCTCTGCCACCCCACGTACCCAGGGCACCCCAGTGCACCCCAGAATCCCATGCACCCCGCGCACTCCAAGCATTCCATGCATCCCACATGCTCGGGCTAGCCCACGCTCCCCATGGAGCCCATGCATCCCCTGTACCCCCGTGCACCTCAGTACCCCAAATTCCTCCTGTACCCCTCGCAGCGCGGGCACCCCCACACACCCAGCCCTGCCATTCTAGGTGGTTTTTGGCAGCGATTCCTCCTCGTGGGCAGGGCTGACGGTGGAATTAGGGACTTCTTTCCTACTGGGAACGGCGCACACACCCCAAAAATCCAGACCACACCCCCTTTCTAGCAGAAGGTGACTAACTTTTGGGGGAGCCCTAGTGCTGATGGGGGAGCCCTACAGGCAAATTGCGGGGGATTTAAAACTTCGGCGAGAACTTTGAGGGGGACCCTGTAAATTTTGGGGAGTATAACTTTGTGAGGAGCTCTGCGACGTTTGAAGAACCCCTGTAACTTATCGGCAGCCCTATAATTTGGCAGGGAACATCACTTTTGCGCGAATCCCCCAAATTTTAACGCTGCCAGTTTCACCCCGGTAAGTCCGCAGGAGCCGTCGGGAGTTCTGCGGGACGCTCCGCCGTGGCGGGATCCCCGCGTTTATTTGGGGGGCGCTCAGAATCCCGCGCCGTAACAACAAAATCGGAACTTTCGGGGGTCCTCTGCAACTTTTGGGGAGCCTCGCGAGTTTGGCGGGAAAAGAGGGGGTGACTTCTATTTGGCCTCAGAGGTGCCGGCGGGGACTCAGTGGTGAGAGGGGGCGACACGGGCGGCCTGGTGGAGGTGGGGTGGGGTTTTGGGGGGGGTGGTTTTTTTTGGGGTGTCCCGCGGGCAGCGCGCGCGGCGGGAGGGCGGGGCGCGCGAAGATGGCCGCTGCCGGCGGGGGCGTGGCGGGGCCGGGGGAGGCGTGGCCGCCCCGCGAGGGCGGGGGCGTGGCCGCCGCGAGCGAAGTGGCAGCGCGACCTGGCCAATCAGCGGCTCGGAGAGCGGCGGCCGCGTTCCAGCCCGCGCGCTCCGGCCAATGGCGAGGCGCTCTGGGGGCGTGGCCCGGCCGGCGCCGACACCGGGGCCGCGCGCGGCGGAGCGCGCTCCCCGCGCCGGGCCGCGGCCGCTCCGCGCATGGACCCCCCGCGCCCGCCCGCGGTCCTAATGCCCGCCCGCCGCCGCCGCCGCCCGCCGCCCCCGCCCGCACCGCCCGCCGCCCGCGCCGCCGCCGCCAAGGTACCGGGGGGGGCGGCGGCGGAGACCGGGGTGGGATCCGGGGGAGGCGGCGGGGGGGCGGTGACAGCTGACAGCGGCCCGCCCGAAACTTTCCCCGCCGGTAAAATGGCGCCGCGATGGGATAAACTTTGGGGGGCGGGAAGCGGGGGTTTGTGGCGGCGGGGCGCCGGGGGTGGTGGTGGTGGGTCGCATCAGCCGCACCCCCGCGGGGATCGTCTGTCCTGGATCGCAGCGCTTTGGGATCTTCCAGAGATCTCCCGCCGCGGGGATCCGCCCAGCCCCGCCCCAGGGAGATCTGCTAGGATCCGCCGGTAGCGGGATCCTCTTGCAGCGGGATCGACTCCCGTGCTGGATCACGTGGGATCTCCCTGGAGTGGGATCCACTCGGTGCCGGAGCTCAGGCAGTGCGTGCCGGTGTCTGGGATTGGCCTGGCGGGCGCCAGTGTGCTCCCAGCTCTGGGATACCCGCTGGATCCCGGGTGATCCGCTCAGAGCGGGATAAACTTGGCACGTGGACTCATAAGGTGTGGATCTATAACGGGATGTGGGATGTAGGTGCTGCCACCTTAGAGCTGCGTTGTCAGGAGGGTGTCAGGTCGACTCATGGCTCTGTGGAGATCCCTGCTGGATCCCTGCTGATGCTCAGCCAGTGGGTGATGGCGCTGGCAGCAGCATCACAGCGGGATCTGGAGAGTGCTGAGGATCTCCTGGCTGGATCCCACTGCGACCTGGTGGGATCCACTCGGGATTTACTCCAAGGAATGGCTGGCAGCGTCCCACCACAGCCCTGCCTGGAGGCCCTGATCCACCTCCCGAAACCCACCTCCCCATCCCACCGAGGTCATGGGGATCCCTGCGGAATGCGGGATCCCTGCTGCCCGCTGCCGTCTCTCCCGCAGGCTCCGCTGGGATCCGAGGGCTGGCTGGGGGAGCCGCCGTCGCGCCAGGACCCGGCCAGCCAGGAGGCCATGCTGCGGGTGCTGGACGCGGGGCTGGAGCGCTGCCTGGCGCTGCACTCGGCCGTGCAGTGCATCCCCGTGCCCCGGCACAGGTAGGGACAGGGACACCGGCACGGCCACCTCCCTCCCACCGCGGGAGCCGGGATTTTTTCTGCAGGAGGACTTTGGCCGCTGTTGGCCACGCCGGGATCCCCGGCAGTGAGTGGCTGTCCTGCTATGGCAGCTCCGGGGACTCCCAGCTTGGAGCATCACCGGATTATCTGTTTGCAAAATGCTTTTGGGTGCTCTTGACCTCTTGCGCTTTTTTTAATCTAAATTTTTATAGCTTTTTTTTTCACCTCAGGGAACTGTTTGGCCTTAGGCAAGCCATGCCTGCGTCCCTGGGCAGGATGCAGGTGCCGTGCCCTCCAGCACGGTGCTGTGCACGCGCATGGTGGGTTGCCCGTGGCATGGCACAGGCAGTGGCATTTTGGCAGCCTGCCTGTGCCTTTGCCTACACTGCTGCCTGTGCCATGCCCAGGGGAATTCCAGCCAGCTGCTGGGATGATCCCTGCAGGGGTCAGCAGCTTCTTGTGGTGCTGCAGGGTGTAGGACACTGGTGGATGCCTTTCTACCTGGTGATGCCACCAGCATCACCACTGAGATCTTGTGCCACCCTTGTACCTCCACACAAACCACCCTTGGGTGGGTGCAGACCTTGCAGGTGGGTGGGTGGGAGGTCCTGGCAGTGAGGAAGGGAAAGTGACAGAGGGTCCCAGGGGGCCTGTCCATCCTGATACAGCCCCCTGTGCTCTCGCTGGCAGGAAGCTCTCGAGCAAGGCAGGCATTGATGAGGTGATGGCAGCCGCGGTGCTCACCAGCCTCTCCTCCAGCCCGCTGGTGCTCGGGCACCCACCGGCCACTCATGCCCCAGGTAAGAGCATGTCCCTGTCCCCCCCATCCCTGGACATGTGTACCATGGCAGGACCTGACCTTCCTCTTCTTTCTCCTCACCAGAGCCTGGCAGCGAGGTCTGGAAGGAGGCTCCTGCCATGTCCTCCAGCTGCAGCAGCAGCAGCAACACCAGCGGGGACTGGAGCTGGGACCCCTCCAGCGACCGATCCACCCCCTCCACCCCCTCACCCCCCCTCTCCAGCCACGTCCCCAGCACCTTCCTGCCTGGCCCACTGCCGGATGAGGGTCCTGATGAGCCTGATGGCACCCACTTCGTCTTTGGAGAGCCCACCCCACGGAAGAGGAAGGTGGGATGAAGCTGAGGAGGATGATGGGGGTGAAGTTGGGAATAGTAAGGATGGCTATGAAGAGGAGGATGAGGTTAAGGATGAGGATGACAGCTGGGATGAGGTTGGGTACGTGAATGAGTTTGGGAATGGGGATAGTGAGCATGGAGATGAGGAGGAGGAGGAGGAGGACATTTAGGGTGAGAATAAAGAGGATGGGGTTGGAGGTAGGGATGACAATTGAGACAGTTTGGGGGTGCAGGTGATGATGGGGGTAAGGTTGGGGATGACAATGGGGATGATATTTGGGCTGAGATGACAGTGGGGCTGGAGATGAGGTTGGGGATGAGGATGAGGATGGGGATCGGGCTGCCAGGCTGACACCTTTCTCCTGCAGAACTCCACCAAGGTGATGTTCAAGTGCTTGTGGAAGAGCTGTGGCAAAGTCCTCAGCAGCTCCTCAGGGATGCAGAAGCACATCCGAACCATGCACCTTGGGTAAGCAAGTGCATGGGGTACCCCTGGACACCCCCAGACCCCCTGGTACCCTTTGCAGGGTCCTGCCATGCTGGGGGAGAGTGTCTCAGCGAGCCTCTGCTCTCCCCGCAGCCGGAAAGCCGACCTGGAGCAGAGCGATGGCGAGGAGGATTTCTACTACACGGAGCTGGACGTGGATGTGGATGCGCTGACTGACGGGCTCTCCAGCCTCACCCCGGTCTCTCCCACCTCCTCGGTGCCTCCCGCCTTTCCTGGCCCCGAGGCTCCTCCTCCGCCGGCGCTGCCGATCCTCGACCTGGCCCTGGCCTCCCCCTGCAGCCCCCCGGGTCCCCCTGGCCGCTGTCACGTCCACACTGACCACGCGTACCAGGTGGGGCACAGGGATGGAGGGGTGACAGGGATGGAGGGAGGACAGGGATGGAGGGAGGACAGGGATGGAGGGATGGCCGGGACAGAGGGGTGACAGGGATGGAGGGGTGACAGGGATGGAGGGAGGACAGGGATGGAGGGATGGCAGGGACAGAGGGGTGATAGGGATGGAGGTGGGGCTGCTGCATTCCCTCATCACCTTGTCTGATGACGGTCGTGTCCTCTCTCCAGGGCTGTCGGACCCCCCCACGGCCACCGGTGTCCCCCACTATCCCCACCCCACCACCGCCCAAGCCACCGGCCGTGCCCAGGTGAGCCATTGCTGCCATGCCCTACCCTGTCCCCTCTCACCCGCGTGTGTGTCGTCCCGGTGTGACTTGTCCCCTGTGCCCGCAGGCGGCCACGGGGCGAGGCCAAGAAGTGCCGCAAGGTGTACGGCATGGAGCACCGGGAGATGTGGTGCACGGCGTGCCGCTGGAAGAAGGCGTGCCAGCGCTTCCTCGACTGACGGAGCCCCGCCGCTCCCTCCTTCTTGCACATTTTGCACTCGAGGTGCCTTCGCGCCCCCCCGGCCGCGCCCCCGGACTCAGGGAACGGCCCCCCGAAAGCTTTATGCACACACACACAGTCCCCCCGCCACGGAGCTTGTCCCCCCTGCCTTGTTTTCCCTTTGAAAATAAGCTAAATCCAACAATCCCACCCCGCTCCTTGCCGGCGGGGGCTGGCAGGGGGTGTCTGGCTGCTCCCAGCCCCCTCCCCACTCCGGTTTGGGGACCCCCCCATGGCTCTGATAAGCTGTGCCCGTGGCTGGTGGGGGCTCAGAAAAGGGGGTGTCTGTTCCTGCTCCCGGGGGGCAGCCCCAGTGCCCAGGGCAGAGGTGGGCGCCTGCCCCCCCACCCCCCAGGGGGGTTTTTACTCTTTGTAAAGTCATTTCTCTCTCTCTCGTTTTGGGGAGCCCCCGCCGGGGCGATGCCCCGGGAAGTGCCTGCAGGAATGCGCCCATTTGCACTAAGCCAAACTGCACAAAGAGGGGTCTTTTTGTTTTCCTTTACTTTTATTTTTTTTTTCCTTCGTGTGGTTTTTATTTTTTAAATAAAATATATGAAAATTCGTATTTTTACCTACTCCCTCCCACAGCACGAGAGCGCGCGGGCCGCGGGGTGCCTCCAGCCCTGGGCGGGTTTCAAGGGGTTTAATTCACTTAAAATCCTCTTTTTACCCAAAACACCACCTGTTTTCCCCTCAAAACCCTTTCTCCCCTCTTGCCCTGTCATTCTCCAGCCCAGGCAGCAGCTCGGGTATGGCCAGGCCGTGCCACCCCGCTCCTCTCCCCATGCAGGGAGGGGACAGGGAGGGGTGGTGGCCCTGCCACCCTCCTGCCCTGTGGGAAGGTTCCCTTTGCATCAGGGACCCCCCCATTGCAGGGTCCCCCCTTGGACACTGCTGTGGCCCCATGGGTCAGGCTGGTGCTGTGCCCTCACTTGTCCCCTCCGGGGATGTGATGTATCAGATCCAAAAGAAAAAAAAAAATAAATATTTGGATTTTTTTTAATGATTCCTGTTCTTTAGTTACGTTTAAGACAGGCAGGATGGGGACCCTGGGCTTCTTGGCACCCCCAGACCCACTGCTGTCACCCCCCATCCTGCATCCCACATCCTCCAGGGTTGGCATCACCCTGTGCATCCTCCTGGGAGTTACTTTAAATTCAGATAATGCCCCAAAAATAGGGAAATTGTCACCCAACAGGCAGCAGGGAGGGACAGAATGAGCCACAGTTGCCTGTTTGGGATGGGGAAGGGGAAAGGGAGGGAGCAGCACTCGCAGCCTCGAGGTGAGCAGGGCTCCCTGCTCGTCCCCATGTTGCCCCATCCTTCCACAAAGGGCAAGGAGGAAAATAACAATAATTACATATTTAAAAAAAAAAGAAAAAGCAGACAAAATTGTAGCAGCAATTTCCCGATTTATTGAAACTGATTGATTTTTGCAGGTATGTCTAAGCTAAATCCCATCACAAAGATTCTATCCGAGGGGCAGCCCCCAGCAGGTGAGGAACTGGGCAGCAACTAGAAAATAAAATCAGATTTACCTGAACTACATCGACAGAAAATCAGTACAACACAGCATGTTCTCCCACTGACTTCTGGTTACGAAATCTCCTCAACCTCCCCAAAATATTAAACACATCTTCAATACAAACACAGGTTTATAATAATTAATATAAAGTCAGTATAATATAGAATATTCCCAGCAAAAAAAAAAAATCAACAATCTTCAAACACCGTCCTTTTTGTGTTTGTTCAGCTTTATTTTTGTAGACAGATTTAAAGCACGTTGAAAAATAAATATATATGAAAGCATACACACAGCACTCTGACTAAGGGGACTAAAAAAAAAAAGCTGAAATTCAAAACACGACTCAGGAGCTACAAAATCAAAGGAACCATTAATTATGGCTTTTGTAGGAGTCGCACGTGTCACAGAATGAGCGAAAATTAGATTATCTTTCAGAATATTGCAAAAAATTCCAGTTTTTGCATTGTTTTCATGGAGTTTCTTTCCTCAAGGGTGATGTGCAAAAGGGGGAGCTTTGAGGGGAGGGTGCTCAGGGACAGTCCCAAAATGCAGCCACCACCCCAAAGCCACAGCTTTGCTTTGGGGAGGCAGAGTGTTTAAAGGCAGGAGTGGGGAGAGGAAACAAAAGGGGAAATAATGCTGGAGTGGGTTTCCTTCCAGACAAAAATTACTCATTTTGTTGTCCAAAAAACTGATTTTTTATTAAAGGACAAGAAAAAAAAAAAAAGAGAAAAGGGAAAGGACAATCACTTTGCAAACCTCCATTAGAGAAGTCTCCCTCTGCCTCCTCACAAAGCTGCTCTGCAGCTGTGGGGCTTTGGGGTGACCTTAAAAAACACAAAACTGGGGAATTCTTGATTTCAAGAACATTTTTGGAAATCCCAAATCAACACAAGGACCTCGTTTGTCTCCATCCTTTAAGATGCTCTCCAAGTCCATGGATCCCTGGGATGTTTTCCAGAGGGCACAGGCAGGGTGATGCCCTCTGCCCCATTCCGCTCTCTACTCCTGGCATTCAGGTTTAAAATAAAAATAAAAATGAGGGTAATCAAGGAATTCAAGGAGGAACATTTACATGTACAAACGTTTTTTTAAAAAATGAGTTGCAAGTTCTCAAGACAGAGTATATCCATGTTTTACCTCTAAGGGAATTATTGTTTTGGAACTAAGTCTGTATATATATACACACACATATATATATATTTAGAAAAAATTAAAAAAAGGGAACCTCAGTGAAGTATACAAAGCCCTGAAGGGAGATACAAAGACGAGATGCAGAACAGACAGAATTAGTGGGGTTTTGTTTAAATCTCCAAGAGCAGAAGTTTGCATAGGCAGTATATCCGAGAGACCCCGGAGAGAAGCTGGAGGGATGTGATCACCTGGAGTGACTGATGAAGTTTACGAAGTTTCAGCATAAAAAATGTGCCCAAATTCCTTTTTTTTCAAACCCAAGTCGGAGCATGGAAGGTAAAGCTGAATCCCTGCGTTTCCAACTCTGCACACCTCCATCAGAACAAAGCACTTCAATAGACATCAGGTGTTAGAAGGGTTTTATTTGGTACAATGGTGTGTGTTAGTGGGACAGAAGCATGTGCGAGGTTGTGACATGGGAAAAGTTAGTTTTATGTGGATTTTCCACTTTTCTCTCCCTTTTTTTTTCTCTTTTTTTGCTTTATTTTTTGCATCCTCAGTTCGAAGAGCCTCAAAGTGACACAATTTGGAAACACTCCTGGGCATTACCTGGCTCTCTGCCCACCTTTAATAAAAATAAGGAAAGAAAATAGTAAAATATTGCCAAGGGAATTGTGAAGAAAGCTCAGCATTCTGTAACTGATGATAAAATTGAGTCACCTAGGGGCAGGGAGAAAGAGGAGGGCTTAGCCCACAGCTGCTCCTCCTCAGAAGGTGGATGCACACACCAGCATTGGAGGGGATGGGCCATCGGAATGTGACACAAACCCAGGGGTTTGTGCTGTCTGGGCTTTAAAATTCTCTTTTAAATAGATTTTTGCATATAAAAAGCAAAGCTAAAGATAAACCTTTAAGTACTGTATGTATTTGTCAACATGCAACAGGTGAGGCTGCACATTCAGGACTTCAGGCACCCCCTAACCCCTCCATATTTACAGGGAAAATGACAATAAATACAGAGCCCACACTCCAGGGGGGGCCAAAATCAGGATAAGGGAACAGCCTCCTCTCTCTGGGATCCCCCAAAACCACTGGAAAAGGGTATATAAAAGTCCAGTTGTGACACACTGGGTGGGTTTTTACAGCTTTTTAAATAGGGGAGGAGATGGAAGAGAAGCTAAAACACAAAATGAGATTTTTACAAGTTAAGAAAAATGTTCCTGCATGACCTGCTCTGCTCTTCCCACATTTATGTATGCTCACTGTCTAAAGAAACAAGACTCCTCCAGTCCAAGGGGCAGCAGCAGCAGTGTTGCTGTGGCCCCACTCAGCCACACAGAGGATTTTAGGAAAGACTCATGTTCCCACATCACTGAGCACCCCCAAATCGATGGGGCTGGAGCCTGGAGGCTCCCAATGGAAGCAATGGTGAACCAGGGTGATGGATGCAGAGAGAAGGTGGTGAATGTCTGCAAGGAACTGAGGAGCAGAGAAAGGGAGTGAATGCCATAAACCCAGGGTGCAACTGGAAGGAGGGAATGGAGGGAGAAACCAGCTCCTGCAGGTGCCAGGATCGAGGCTCCCACCACAAAATCCTGGCACCCAGTGGCTTAAATCCTTTCAGATTATTTGCTTTATGGGGGTTAATTGCACAATATACTTTTAATTCCTTTGCTGGGTGGAACCACGCTTTTCCTCACGGACCCTCAGGCCTGCAGGCAGGAAAATAGCACCTTGAGTCATTTGGCTTCTGGCAATGGGTTGTCTTTCGTGGCAGGTTTCAAGGTACCACAGTCACAGACATTGTAGAAAATTGCTCGATGGCAAGGATGGAGTGAGGTCTTCAGCTTTTTTCTAAATTTTATTTTTAAAAGCACCAGAAGCAAAGAGGTGAAGGTAGAACAAGCGGTTTCTCAGGAATAAGATAATTCCAACACACGCTGTTGCTGTTGTTATTTAGGTGTAGCTGGAAGAAGGCAACAGTGGCCGATAGGAACAGGGAGAATCCAACTATCTGGAACAGCCCCACAGAGTCTGAGGAGACGCTGGGAGAGAAACCTGGTCCTTATTTAAAGAAAAAAATGGTTTATTAGAAAATTTACAAGGAACCAGTGCAACTAAAGCTGAAAGTTTTTGTCATGAATGAAGCAGGTGTTAGACCTACCCATGATCAACGAGAATGGTGAGATTGGCAAGGAAGAACAAGGTACTCAGGTGAAATCCTGGCCCCACAAAAGTCCATGGGACGGGAGCAGCAAGATTCCACCCTGCTGGGATCTCCTCACCTCGGCTCGTGGCCTTTCCCAGCTCATCCTGCACTTGGCTGAACGCCTCGGTTTTGCTACAGTTTGCATATATTTGTGAAAAAGGCAGCCGAGCAAAGGGAGAAAAGTGAAGATATTTGTGGAGAAGAATGACAGGTGCCCTCTAGAGCAAAAGGTGCTTCCAGAAGCACAAATGTGTTTTGGTGCCTGTGGATGACCAAGGCTGGAAGACAGGACATGGGTAAGATGCCAGTAGGTCCAAGAAAAGTCACAATCTGTCTTTGATGGTGATTCTTTTGGAAGCTAAGAATCCAAGAAAATATTTGTAAGGCTGTAATCTGACTTGCCTTTTGATCTATTTGGCTCCATAAAAAATAATTAAAACTCTTTAAATAGCTTTGCAAAAGGCCTGTATCATCAGGGGAAGCCCTCCAAGACATCCATCCATCTGCTTTTACAACTTTAGCTTGAAATTCCACTGCTGCTGGGATTTTAGCACAGACAAGGTGTAAAAAAAACCCCAACCAACCAACAAACCTGCTTTGGACACAAAGACCTCCCTGGTGCTTGGTTCAGAGTGGGAAGGGGAGGAGGATCCATGCTTCACCAGCCTCCTCACACCTGCAGAGACTCCACCTCCCTCTTGGGCAGCCTGGCTGGCTTGGCCAAAGGGGTGGCCATGGGCAGGGGGACACAGGGGGAGAAGGGAAAGGGAAAAGGGGGAAGGCGAAGTCAGTCGTGCCGCTGGAAGCGACCCTGCTAAGACAGTGTCTGAGTGGAACAGAGAAGGACTCGTTTAGAAAACACAAGAGTTATTTTGCACACATGGACGACAACAAGGCTACTTAGTTTTTCCAACATACTCCTTCCTCCCCGCCCTCCCTCCCCCTACAAACAACAGAGCGAAACAAAAAAAAAAAAAAAAAAAAAAAAAAAAATAATCCCTAAGAAATCCAGGCAAAATCCTTGTCGTTCTCCCCAGAGTTGTCCTGCTCCTGCGGGGAGTCGACATCTTTGTCATCATCTAAAATCACATCATCCTGTGACATGCCCACGTCATCCTTCCACTTGATGTCGTCGTCGTCTCCCATCTCCTCGTCTCCTTCCACTTTGATGTCATCGGGGTCTTCCATGTACTGCCCCTCCCCGGGGTAGCACTCGTCTGGGGACCCCTCCCCGCCGTTGTGGTCCAGGTGGGCGGCGATGCCGCGGCCGGAGCAGTCGGCACAGACGCCGTGGCGGCGGGAGCCGTGCTTGATCCCCACGCTGGCTGCTGACATGAACACCCGGTTGCAAACCTTGCAGACGTATTTTTTATCTTTGCTGTGGACCTGGAGAGGAAAGAAGACCACAGAGGTGAATGCCAGAGGAGATGGAATGAGAGCTGCTCCCGTGTTCTTGCAAAGGCAAATCCACAGCTGCTGCCTGAGATCACAACTAGCTGCCACCATGAACCCAAACTCACCACCATTAATTCAGCCCTGCAATGATGATACACAATGGAAAATCCTTTGGGACTGCCTGTTCGTCACCACACTCATAAGTCTGAGACAAATTTTTATTATCTTTTTTTTCTTCTTTTTTCCTTCTGTTTTTCTGGGGTGCAATAGTTGTATCACACCCAGCACCAGGAGGAAAAAGTTAAAAAGAAATTAAAAAAACAATCCACAAGCACTGGTTCTGTGAAGACCAGAGAAGAACAACCCTGATCAAACCAGTGTTAATGGTGATTTAGTGGTCCCCCTCCTGATCCCACTGCTGTCCAGAACCAAAGAACAGGAGCACTTGGAACATCTCCTGTATCTCCCAAAAAATGCATCTGAATGCACTTCTCACCTTATTTCTGACTACTTTGGTTTGACAAAAACGTTTCTCCTCCATAACTCATGCTGCAAGAATCCTGGGCATATGAAGCTATCACAGAATATGTGGCCAGTAAAGGAAACAAGGAAAATGCTCTGCAGGATAAAATAATTCATTTCCAGAGTCAAACTGCACTATTCAATGAGCAAAATTACATACTTAGAGAAGCACAAAACACCTGATTAAAGGTGAAATCTGTCCCTGGCCACTTTTGCCCTGCATGGAAGGCAAGGAGCTTGTCAAACCATTCACCTGCTCCTCTGCCAAAGGAAACATAAGCAGTGAGAACTCCCAAACTCCACCACAAGGAGCCTCATCAGGTACTTTCACTTACACATACATATCTACATGTAAAATACTTATTGATTTTATTTATATATAGGAAAGTTTAGTTGGAAGAGACACATGACAATCTTCCAGTCCAACTGCCTGACTGCTTCAGGGCTGCCCAGTAAATATTATAAAAATGTATTTTTATTTTATATATTTTTTCTTTATTCATTTATGTATTTACACCACACGGGGACAGCACAGGCACTCGATGCCCTGTGTCTGTGCCTCAGGAGACACTTTAGGAAGTGGTGTAGAAGCACACAAGGATCCAGTGCCAGTGGTTTGGGGCTGTTCTGAGCAGCCCAGCAGCCACCAGACCTCGGGTACATATCACCAGTCCCTAATCCTTTTTAACTCGTTTCTTCTTTTCATGCTCACAACAGCCTGTGGGAAAGCTTTTGCTGATTAAAGTCCTTCCTTTTATTTTAAAGCTGCTGCCTGGATGCCTGCTCCCTGCTCCTGCCTCAGCATGGGATCACCAGCTCTCCCCACCTGACTCTCCACAGCCCTGTGCTCTGGAAGACTCAGCTGAGCCAAAGCCCTTTGGGAAGAGGACAAATTGAGCCATTGTAGCCCCTCAGCCCTCACTGCTGCAGGACACTGGCCCAGGCTCTGTGCTGCACCAGTCCCAGCCGTGTTCAAAGCCTGTGAGTGCCTCTGATATGCTCTGGCTGCAGCTTCCCCTGCTCCAAGCCAGTCCCCACGACATTCTTCTACTGCATCAAGCAAAGGCATTAAATTTTATTGCTCTTTTTAAAGCAGTTGGACAGGGCTGCTCAGAGTTATCCAGCAGGATCTATAGGTATCACTCACTTTCAACTTGTACAAGAATGATTTTCAGGCATCAAAAGCTGAATAGGAGAACAGAAGGTGGTCAGGGGTGAAGAATAAGGGATACAAGAGATATTAAAAAGAAATTATAAAACAGGTACTAAACCAATTTGTAATTATCACAGAATGGTTTGGGTTGGAAGGGGCCTTAAAGCTGATCTAGTTCTGACCCCCTGCCATGGGCAGGGACACCTTCCACTAGAGCAGGCTGCATTTCTACTAAAAAACTCATCTCTCTCCCTCTTTTCCAATGCTGACAGTTCAGCCAGCAGGTTCAAAGTAAGCCATATTCCTGAATGCAACTGAACAGAAATTAATCTTATTCTCTTTACAGCCAAATTAGTATTAAACACAGAAGCAGCATTTGGCCCTCAGTATTGGACAGTGCCATTAGAAAGATGATAGTCTAACTGACTAAATGCCAATATTTCAAGGAAGAAAAGAGGAAATATGCTGACAACATCCTAAACTTATGGAAAAAAAAATTTAAAAGAGAAAATTCTCAGAAATAAAATGCTGGAGGCAACCAGCTGGCATTACAAGGTGCTCCCTGCTGCAAAACAAGTAACAGATCTCAAAAGCTCAAAACCTGTGTGCTTGCAGCAGGACCGAGCTCATGCTGGGATCTGCCTCCCAAATTCCAGCACCCCAAGGAAAGAAGGAGGGGACATCTTAGGGAGCAGGCAGTGCCCAAGCAGATGGCTGGGCACTCATCCAAACAGACATGGAAAGGAAGGAGATGATGGGGATTTGGGCACTGTGGAAAATTGTCACACAGGGCTCCAGGATCCTGGTGCAGGACCTGGGGCATCGTTGGTGGTGAGCCAGGCCTGCTGCTGGCACTGCTGCTGGAATTATTGCCTAGAAACGACCTGCTCTGCCACAATTCCACCTCTACACCAAGCTTTGAGAACCTTTTTAGGACGGCAAATCATTTTTTACCCTGAAAAGAAAAATAATCAAAGTCTGGCTTAAAATTTTGTTTCAGAAGAAGCTGTGAAGAGCCAGACCCAGCACCAGCCTTGCTGTCAGAGCTGAGGAGCCTCTTCAATAAGGTGTAACAGCATTTTTGGTAACTAAGAGTGGCCAGACCAGAGTAGCTTTGCCTCAAGTTCTTGCTAAGCAATGTGTTTTAAAGCTTTCTGCACCAAGTCATAGAACTACAGAATTGTTAAGATTGGGAAAGGCCTCTAAGATCAAGTCCAATTGCTCCTCCAGCACTGCCAACTCTACCACTAAATCATGTCCCCAAAATCACATTCACACATTTGTTCAATCCTTCCAGGGACAGTGACTCCACTATAGTCCTGGGCAGACTGTGCCAGGGCTGAACAACCCTTTCAGTGAAGAATTTTTTTTTGCTAATATCCAACCAAAACCTTGGAAAGCTCCTAGCTGAGCTTGGAGAGCAGGAGAAGGAAGAACGGGCAGCCAGGCACGAGACCTCGGGAAGGGAAAAAGATCCAGGAGGAAGCTTCAGATGAGCCCTGAGTGTCAAACAAAACCCAGAGTGAAATGAGGTGAAGCTCCTGTCCCCTGAAGGAAAGGGCTGATGTCCCCAGCTCCGCCCTTACCAAGGTGTGGCGCTTCATGTGCTCGCGGCGGGTGAACTTCTTGCCGCAGATCTCGCAGGGGTAGGGCCTCTCCCCCGTGTGGGACCGCATGTGTCTCTTCAGGATGCACTGGTGCATGGCAGAAAAGCTGCAGTACGGGCACTTGAACTTCTTCCTGATGACTGTGAACTCGTTGACTGCAAGAGAGAAAGCAGAGCGCACAGATTAATCTCAGGATGTCTCAAAGCTGTCTTCTCGCTGAGTATTTCACTATTAAATTACTGTGAATCACACTCTTACCCCTTAACCATCTACATATTTTTAATCCTTATACTGTATTACTGCCCATATATTATTCAAGCCAAGAAATTGAGTACCTCCATCAGAGCAGCTTTTCAACAAGCTGACACACAAACATTTAGCAACAGCCTGTTACAGACATTGCTTGCTAAAGGGAAAATGAAGAGGGCTGTCAACCTGCTCGAGTTCTGATTTATTATAAGGGATTATCCTAAATATCAAGATCTAAAATGCTAACAGTACTACCCGTGGAAGAAGCAAGGAGCCAAGAACAGAAGTCCACAAAGGTGGCACCCAAAAGGTGCCAGTGTTACCTATGGGGTGATGCAAGAACATCATCACACAGCCCAGGAGCGTTTTGGTGAAGGAGCAGAGACTGAGGGTGGCCCAGAGGAAACAGGACAGTTCCAACCACCATTCTCAACATTATCCAGTGACACAGTGACAGTGCCACACACAAAATACAGCAGGTGAAAAAACAGAGTATTTGCTGCTCCCTGAGGGCACCACCCACCCACTACAAGTTCGGAAGTTACTGCCCATGAGGAGATGATTTTAAATCTGTTTCTCCTTCATTCTACTGCTTCCTATTAGTATATTCATTTTGCCTGCTTTTCTCCTAATTATTGTTATTTCTCAAAGCAATATATTTACATAACAAGGGGCGGGAGGGGGGAAGCAAGTTCTGGTTAATCACTGTAACTCATGTGTGTGTAAATGGCTCCTGATAAAGCAAACAGTCTATGGAGGAGAGCTGGGGGAATGCCAGACCCACTCCCTGGCTCCTAACAGATCCAATACTCAGCAATATTTTTAGATGCCTATTGAAATATTTATAATATAATACATAAAATAAATGCAATATATAATAGAAATACCCTACTAGGTGTGTGCACAGTCCATGCCCTCAGTATGTCACAGGTAATGCCCAGGTAATTCACTGTACACTGAAAACTTTTAAAGAAAATTGGTAAGCCCACAGTGTCATTTCATGCACAATTTGTGGGCTGGTTTGTTTGCTTCTTTTTTCCCTTTTCTGCTCTTAAAATTTACTTTGTTTTGTATATCAGTACAGGTGAAACAACATGAAAAGTAACTCCATTTGTCACTCATGTAGAAGTGCAAACCAGCTGGCACTACTAAGAGACACTTTTAAATAAAGTAACCCTCTCCTGGGTAATCACAACAAACATTTCAATACCAGCTCTCTTAGAAAAAGTATTTCAAGCAGTTTGCTATTGTTCTAATACACACTAAAAGCATGATTCAAGATCTTAAAAGCTGCTGTGATATGAAGTTTATCTCAGCATTTGTTTTGCCTATTCAGAATTAAAACACATAGAGATAACTTTGTGGAAGAAAGACTACCTTTGATTATCAGTTTGCCTTGAATTTAATATTCTGTTCTGTTCTTGGGCTCCAAACTCACTGCCTTGGGCTTCTCATACCTGTGATGGTGCAGCCCACAGCTGCTTTTTTGGGGGCATAGCTTGGTGTTTTTCCAGCACATTTGTAAAGCTGTCAAGAGAATTTTCCAGCCCACAGAGAAAAAACCCCAAATATCTACCCCCTTGGGCCATGGCTGCAACATGGACACCAGGGAAAGCCAATGCTAAGGAATATTTTATTCAGCTGCCAGCAAAGCTCACCCACTGCAATGGGGCAGTAAGAAATGCCTGCACTGCTTTAGGAATCTCCTGGAGGAGATCCTTGAGCACAGCCTGATGTCCAGAGCATTGGGCAAGCTCTGCTTGGTGACCTAAACACCAGCCCTTCTCCTACTCCACACCAATGCTCTGATTTACCAATATTTAAATAAACTTATTTTTTAAAATCAACTAGAATATGAAAGTTCTCTGTCTTTTATTACAGGAAATATTTTTTTCTTCATTTTCTCCTAGGGTTTGACACTCCCTCATCTATACACTCAGAGGCAAGGAGCCCACGTTTTCCTACAGCAGGTAGCAATTTTATGATACAAAGCTATTTATTATAAACTCATTTCCACTCTGATTTCATAACCACTTGATTTTGGTGACAGGCCACACATACACACTTCAAACAACCCTGTTACTATGGAGTGTGGACAAGGTGAACAAGCTGCAAGCTGAGCACGGGGAGTGGAGAGGGGACACAAACCCTCCTTCCTCCAGTCCTGCTCCACACCACACACACTGCAGAGCCCTGGGAAACACTGACTGGAGATCCTGACAGCAACCAGATCCTGGCATCATGAAGAAAAAGTGCTTTAAGGAGAGAGACCCACAAAATCCCTTATTCCTACATCGCTGGGTTGTAGCTGATGCTGCTGCTCCCTCCAGTGCCTGCTCCCATTTCCTGCCCACATCTCTCCCTTCCCTTAGGGCTGAGCTGCTGCAAAGCTGAAAAGGCAACACCCAACACTGGGAGCATCATCTGCACCCCAGCACACTTCTCCCCATCCACCTACTTCCAACACATCCAAGGATTCCCAACAGCTTATTCCTGACTCTGTCAAATTCCAAGATCCCTCATGCCTGCATCCAGCTTAAATCACTCAATATTTTCAGCTTCTGTATTTAAAAATACTCACAGAACACTGTTTGCAGCTATGGTTTTATTGAAAACTATTTTTGTACCAAAAATATTATATTTATATAATATTTAGTTAGTTTATAGTTTAGCCACATATTAAGTTTTGGTATCTACAAAAGGTAACACCTCAAAAACAGCAGTATGGTCAGAAAAATAAGTGTATTGCAGCATCAACATTTTCACAGTCCTGTAAAATATATGCACCCACAGTACATCTATTTAATGCACAAATACCAGCTTTGGTATGAGCATCATCCTTTGTCTAAATGACAATATTTTATAGAGCAGCTTTAAGTGTAGCAGCATTGAGGTCCTAAGAAATCATCTTTAACCCGATCATCAAGGTGATAAACAGCACCATGGGTAAAGAGCTACTGGACACAGCACCAAGAAATGGACAAGGAATAGAAACAGTGACACAGTAAAAATCTGTGTACTTAATGCCACTAAAATATTTATGGAAATGTGTGTTTTTAAAACCAACACAATAATGCTTGGGGAAAAAAAATCTTTGGTATTGTCTTCTCAAGTAGCATATTTCACTGAGGCTGTTAAAGGAAACAGGCTCCTACATCCCTGAGAGAGAAGGAAAAGCACAAGTGATGCCTGATGGAGCTGCTCTGGATTAACTCTGTAAACTGTCATCTAGTTAATAATCACTGAAATACTACATTCTTATTAGAAAGAATTCACAAACTTCAGGAGAATTCTTGTCTGCTAAATCCTCTTTATATTTAAGGCTATAAATAGCAAAATGCAATTTAACTGTCAGACTCACACCTCCCATCAGCTTCCCATGCCATTTCCTAAGAGTAAAATCCTACTTCTAACACCTGTTCTACACAAACCCAATAAAGCTCTGCCCTGTTATACCCTTCGGTTCTAACAATTTAAAAAACCTCGTCGTGATCCTGAAGGGAAGCACTGGAAATTCCCAGTGCTGAAGTCAGGAAGCATTCTGAGGCACAGGCCAAGGAAAATACTTCTAAAAACTCTATTAGAGACAGTGGTGACCTGACTACAGAAAAAGAATTCCATGTTGAATTAAATTCTAAACAAGAAAAATGAGCAAACATGAAACCTCATTACCTATTATCATGTAGTGAAACCTTTTAAAGTTTGCTGAAATTGCTTTTGCTGGCATCTTACTTTCCCAAGTCAGACAAATCCTTCCCTGCTGCTCCCAAATTTCCAGATAAGATTCACTGGGTTACAACTTTGTTTTCCAGCTCAGCTTTCTCCTTTCTCACTTGCTGATTATTTAAGAGCAAAATAAATCACGAGGCAATTACTCTGACATCTGTCACAAGGGAAGCTGGCACTCAGAGCTGAGCACATTCACACACAGCCGAGATCTCCAATGCCAAAGATGTCAATGGGAACAAGAGCAGAAAAAATGAACCTCACTTTGCAAAACCCATAACATTTAAACCCAAACTATTAAAGTGTACTACAGTGATTACATAGGAACTTATCTTCAATTCTGAATGCAGCCTGCTCAAATGAAGAGTAAGAACTAAGCCAAGCAGGGAAACTCCAGCTTCCCAGCCCTGGCATGGCATGGAGCCTCCCCCTGAAGCTCTGAGTCCCAGCAGGAACAGGTGGAGCAGAGCTGCACCAGAATATCCCTGTTCTCCTCCACAAGCCCAAGGGCAGCAGGACCTGATGGGCTCTCTCATTCACCTTTCCACAGCAAAGGGCTGGGGAAAAAGCTCCTCACTACGTCCACATCGTGCACAACTAAGTATTTTTGTTTCTCTGAGATGCAACAGTATAATGAGAAAGAACTTCCCTGAAGAACTCTAGAGAACATTTGTAGAAATTGGGTTTTTCTCTCCTCAGCTGTCTCTCACATTGAGGAAAGAAACCCCACATGCTGACAAGCTGTGCTGCACACAGAGCAGCTGGGAAGCACTGCTCTTAATTATGCTACTTTCATTTCATAGTTACCATAATCTGGTTTTGTATGTAAATATATAGCAAGAGACATAGAAATATTTAATCTTTTTAAAAAATAAGTGAATTTCATAGAATAAAACAGGAATTACAGATTTCTACCCACCAGGAGCAGCCATTACTGATTCTGTATGCACATCCCAAGTTACAATTAAATCTATGTAAAGCCTCCTTCCTCTGCTTCAACACCACCAGACTCAGTCTGGCTAACTTAATTAGAGTATATAAACCAAATGAGTCACAAAAATGTACAGAATCCCTGAAAACCACAGCCATACTCCAGGATTATTTTTTTTTAAAGCCCTGAAAGTACTGAAATATAGTATCAGTAAAAGGTGCAAGCCTTGAAACAACTTTCAATCTCAAA